TCTATTGGCCAGCGTGAGAGCCAACAGCTGACTGACACGAATGTTAACTAGCATGCTAGCATGCAAAAAAAAAAAATCGATAGCTGCATTCGTCACAAGTGGGAAAAATTTAAATCTGCATAGCACTTTACTCCAGTTGGCTCATTCGCTTGCTTAAACTCAACGTTGATTCTGATTCGGCAGAACTGGGTTGGGTGTGAAAAAGTATTTGTTGTTAACATTCTTTTTTTATTTGTTTTTTCCAGTTACAAGTCATTTTTTAAAGCTGATCGTTTTGTGTTCATTTTGTTTAGTTCTTTTTTCGTAACAGATTTAATGTTTAGTATAGAGCTTAGAAGAAAATTCGCAGTGTGAGATAGGCAAGAAGTAAGGCATGTAGCAACATCAGCACGGCAAAGGACACTCCTTTAAAGGCAAGGAATGGCAAAAATATTTTAAGTCAAGTGATAGCGATTGCTGTATGAGCCGTACGATTTTTGAATCAAGCACGGGCAACAAAAATATTACCAGTAATACATCTTTTGAAAAAAAATATTAGGAGCAAAACATTTTTGATAAAAGATATTACCAGCAAAACATGTTTGAAAACAGAAAATATTACCAGTAAAACATTTTTGAAAAAAAAAATATTACCTATAATAGATTTTTGTAAAAAAGTATTACCACCAATACATTTTTGGAAAAATATTACCAGCAAAAATCTTGTCGGCATTAAATAACCGATTGAGGTTGATATGCTGAAAACCAAATTATATCAAACGTATGTTATTAGTTGACACATAAAGGAGACTACAAGATCTCATAGAGAATTTTGTGTAAAATAAGTCTCCTATTGATTTTCTCTTTACTCAATTTCAGATGTTAACATATTCTGCTGATGAAGTTGAATGTTTTATTTGTAAATATTCTTCAAATTCTACTCTTGATTCAGCTGAACTTCTATGCATGACTTTCGACTTAATTCTATTGAATGATATACATTTAATTCTGTCCATAGTTTCTGCTATCATCTATATAAAATAGATCCTCACAAAGCATGTGGACTTGATGATATCCCGGAAATAGTACTTAAGAAACGTGCAGCTGAAAGAGCTCCTGTTAATTTCTAATCTTTACAATTAAAGTCTTGCTGCTTCTTGCTTTACTACTTTTTTAAGCATTGCACCAAAGAAAGGCGGGTGTGCCACTAGCACGCAAGGGGTTAAAGAGAGTGAGAACAAGAATAAAGAGTGGAAAGGATAAAGAGAAGGATGGGGATCAGGATCAAGGCATCAGAAGATGTCGATTGACATTACATTTAAATATTTAAAGATTATAGCTATCAGTGAAGCAAGTATGATAAAGACAGTTCCACCGTCGGGATGTGCGAGAGAAGAACCTGTTGGAGTAGAAGAGGCGGTTACATTTAACTGTTTTGACAGTGAAAGGATGGAACCAAAATGCCAACCTACTAGCACACTTAATTCATGCAGTGTGTTGTGGAAGATTTCGCATTGGAGACTTGTATGTGTACTAAATCGTTCCTAAAATAGGTTCGACGTTAGGAACTTGATATAATATATATTACGCAGAGAAATCTTGTTGTGGTCTCTGATACTTTCGTATTCGACTAACTGTCGTCCGACATCGACTGACTGACCGACGATATTCAGCCACACCCCACAAGGGCGTCATGTGGCACGAGGCCTTTCGACCAAAAATATGCCCATTGAACCCGGATTCCTCTCCGCCCGAAGGCAGAGAGTTCAACCGATCAGCCAGTCGACTGACTGACCGACGATATTCAGTCACCCCACCACGAGGGCGTCATGTGGCACAAGGCCGGTTTAACGTAAGATCTCCGAGCCCGTGGTCTCGGCCAAAAATATGCCCATTGTACCCGTATAAACGGGTTCAGGGTCGGTTTACCTCCCCGAAAGAGAATTCACCCTTCGGTGTAGCCTCCTTCGGGTTCCTCCCCGACCGAAGGCAGAGAGTTCAACCGAACAGCCAGTCGACTGACTGACTGACTCCCGTTTCTATTACTACTCCTACTTATTATAGGTGGGAGAGTCTATTAACTATAGAATAGCTGTGTTCCACCATAACACAGTGAAAGTAGTTCGTCAGTGCAGTTGCCATAAAAATATTCGTAGAATAGACAGAGGAATGCTACAGCACATCTGTGAGTAAGTGATTGTAGATGAGATGCCAGATCAGAACTTATCACATTGCATATGCGTCTCTGGATTTTGTCGAGGACCTCGAGATGCACATCGGGGACACTAGACCGTATATGGCAAGATTATTCAATGCAAGAACGAATGGTTGATTTGTAGATTTGAAGGATGGACATAGGCGAGAAAAAAAACTTCTGGTGCGACACAGAGAACCAACTTTCCTTGCGCTTTGTTGGAAAATCATTTTTCTACCTCTTTTTGGTAGAATACTTCTTTGTTTCCTTTTATGTGCCGTGTCCTTTAAGGACGTAGTCGATCATGGCTCTCCACTTCCCCCTATCCTTTGTAACTCTCAATAAGTTTCGTCCCTCTGCCATCTCCCTCAAACCGCGTTCTGTCATCCTCTTAAGCCCTCCAGATATGACATGCGTTGCGTTTCCTTGTCTCTCTTTCCTTCTATTCGACCTTTGAGTATCAGATTCTCCGGGCCCTTCTTTCTCTTTACGTGTTCCAGAAATTTCAGCTGTCTCTTCCTGATATCAAGTATATGCTTCCTCTTTTTTGCACACTCTTCAAAACCCCCATCGTTGCTCAGTAATCTTTTCTTTGTAACCAAACGTTTACAATAGAAAGAAAAAAGTTAGGACCATGAAGGAAAGAAACAGAAACATAGAACATTTTGAGGAAAAAGAACGAAAAAAGAAAGAAAGAAAGAAAGAAAAAAGAAAGAAAGAAAGAAGGAAGGAAAACAAAGCAAGAACGTATACATAGCAAATAGGAAAAATAAAGGAAAAATACATTTTATTAAGAGGCAAAAGAATGGAAAATAGAAGGAAATTGTGAAATGTGAACGAATTAATAATGAAAATGTAACCATAAAAAGTGTGATTGTGGCTTGAAAGAAAAAAAGCATGACAGAAAGAAAGATTGGAAAAACAATTGACAGAAAGAAAGAAAGAAAGAAATGGAGAAAAGAAAGAAAGAAAGAATGAAAGAAATGGAGAAAAGAAAGAAAGAAAGAAAGGAAGAACGAAAGAAAGAAATAGAGAAAAGAAAGAAAGAAAGAAATGGAAAAAAGAAAGAAAGAAATGGATTAAAGAAAGAAAAAAGAAATGTAGAAAAGAAAAGAAAGAAAAGAAAGAAAGAAAGAAAGAAAAGAAAGAAATGGAGAAAAGAAAGAAATGGAGAAAAGAAAGAAAGAAATGGAGGAAAGAAAGAACGAAAGACAGAAAGAAAGAAACAAATGGAGAAAAGAAAGAAAGAAAGAAAGGAAGAAAGAAAGAAAGAAAGAAAGAAAGAAAGAAATGGAGAAAAGAAAAAAAAGAAAGAAAGAAAGGTACGGAGGAATGAATGGATGTAGAAAAATAAAAAAGCAAGAATAAATATTTAGTGACTGAAAGTAAGAAATATAGAAATATTATAGCAAAAAACAAATTGGTTGAATAATGAAAAGAAAGCTTTAGAGTTCAGTGAAAGAAAGCAAAGAAAGAAAGAAAGAAAGAAAGAAAGAAAGAAAGAAAGAAAGACGTAGACACAGCATAAAGAAAGAATAAAAAATAAAGAATATATAAAGGCAAAACGAAAGAAAGAAAGAACGAACGAACGAAAGAATGAATTAAATAATAAAAAAATTAAAAGAACGAATATATAAACGCAAACAGAAAGAAAAAGACTGAAAGAAAGAAAAAGAAAGAGAGACTGAAAGAAAAAAAGAAAGAACAAACATAAAAAATAAAAAACAAACAAATGAAGAGAAGAAGAAGGTAAGAAAGAAAGAAGGTAAGAAAGAAAGAACGTATAAATATAAAAGAAAGAAAGAAGGAAAAAAGAATAGGTAAACATATGATAAAGAAAGAAAGAACACAAGCATAACAGAGAAATGAAAGGATGCAATAGAGAATGAATCAAAGAACCTAATATACTTAATAGAAAGAATGGATTCGTGAAAGAATGAAAGTAAAAAAAAGCGTAAATTAAGGAAAAGAAAGAAAGAATCCAAATGTGAAATAAAGAAAGAAACAACAAACTGAATAACATATAGACCGAAAGAGAAAGAAAGAAAAAACGAAGGAAAGAACGTATAAACATAATAGAAAGAAAGAAGGAATGAACGAACCGAAAAGCATAACAGAAAACATAAAGAAAGAAAGACTAAAAAAGAACATAATAGAATGAATGAATGAATGAAGGAATGAATGAATGAAGGAATGAATGAAGGAAGGAATGAAGGAATGAATGAATGAAGGAATGAATGAATGAAGGAATGAAAGTTTAAACATAAAAGAAAGAAAAACATTGCCAAAGTTAAAAGCGAAAGAATGGAGAGAAGTAAAACTAAAGTACGACCAAACTGCAGACAAAAAATTGCAAAGAACTCCATAGACTTCCATTCCAGGCTTTTTCGGATATTAAATCTAATCTTTGATGGTTGCATTTATTCGCTTTGTATTATTGCTTTGCAGAATCTCACTTGCGGTTTTCCGGCAAAAATCTTCCCCGTAACTAAAGGAAACAAAATGAAGTGGCGGAGTAAAAGCAAAATAAATAAATAATAAATAAAACGGAATCAGGAATGATTGCAGATGTTTCCCTTCGTTGAGCCGAAGTTTCATAACAGACACTTTACTTTAAGATTACAATTTTCTCCCTCTGACTTTCCATAGATCCATACTGGACTCGCTCGATGTTTTGGAGTGAAATATGAAGATCAGTTGGACCAAGCTGTTTGCTACAAGGCTACATTTACTGAGCATTTGTTGATGACAGCACTCGATATAAATAACTGTGTAGGTTAGTAAGCAACGAGGACGAAGAGGGGAGTAAAAAGAAAGATTATTTAGGTCAAATGAAAGCAGGTGTCAGTGGAGAGCCATCGACCACATAAGTAGTAGAAATCAATATATAAATAAAGTTGATATAATCGGCCTGTTCTATGGCCTGTTGATAGAAAAGGAAATAAAAGCAAGGGGAAGAAAGAAAGAAAGAAAGAAAGAAAGAAAGAAAGAAAGAAAGAAAGAAAATGAAAGGAGACAAAGAAAGAATGAAAGAAAATGAATGTAGAGAAAAGAAAGAAAGAAAGAAAGAAAGAAAGAAAGAAAGAAAGAAAGAAAGAAAGAAAATGAAGAGGCGGAACGAAAGAATTAAGACAGTGAAAGACATAATCGGTATAGTCGGAAAATTGCCTGCCCTGTTATCAAAAGAAAGAAAGAAAGAAAGATAGATAGATAGATAGATAGATAGATAGATAGATAGATAGATAGATAGATAGAAGAACGAAATAAAGAAAATAGAGTAAGAAAGAAAGAAAATGAATGTAGAGAAAGAAAGAATGAAAGAAAATGAATAGGTAGAACGAAAGAAAGAATATGTAAGAAAGAAAGAAAAAGAAAGAAAAAGTAAGAGAATAAACGGTGAGAACGAAAGAAAGGAAATAAATGATGAGAAATAAAAAAAATAAATAAATAAAATGAATTTCAAGAAAAGAAAGCAGCAAAAATGATTGTAGAGAACGAAAAGAATATAATTAATGGGGAGAAAGAAAGAACGAATAAATGAATGTCGGGAAAATAAATAAATAAATAAACAAACAAACATATAAATAGACAAACAAATAAATAAATAAATAAACGAAAGAATTAAGACAATGAAAGACATAATCAATATAGTCGGAAAATGGCCTGGCCTGTTACCAAAAGAAAGAAAGAAAGAAAGAAAGAAAGAAAGAAAGAAAGAAAGAAAGAAAGAAAGAAAATTAATGGTTAGAAAGAAAGAAAGAAGGAAAGAAAAACGGGTAACCGTAAGATAAAGAATAATAATAAAGGAAAAAGAAAGAAAGAAGTAAGAAATGAAAGAACGGGTAAACTTAAGTGTAACAACGATAATGAAAGAAAAATTAATGATGAGAAAGAAAGAAAGAAAGAAAGAAAGAAAGAAAGAAAGAAAGAGTGAGAAAATATAGAATAGAAATCTCATCGTCCTATTCTACAACTTGCTGGCATGGTGATACATGATCAAGTTTGAACTAAACCTCTTCTGAGCACATTTTCAAGAGCCAGAAAAAAAGTTCCACTGCAATCTCAATGGTTTTCAAATGCAAAACTCACACCAATCCTCTCTAAACTGTCTTTATATTGAGCTACTTTTGCAAACAAATTTGTCCATATGAACACAGCAAGCAGAAAAGACATCAGTAGCAATGGCGTGTTTATAACTCGGGCAGGTCCTCCTGGCTCGCATGATATACATTAAGTGAAACGTTAATTGATTAACATTCCCCGGCCAAACTGCAGTGATTGATAAGTGCAAAGGTCAGATGATTGGAAAATGGCAGGTATTGATAAAAGACGATCTTGGAGGAAGCGTGGTGTGCAGTTCCTTTTACGTCAAGAAATAAGTTTTTTTTTTCTGGACATGGTAGAAAGAAGTTTCAGATTCGTGAAATCAGAAGACGGGAGAGTCTGGATAGATGACGAGAAAAGAGAATGGATAGACAAATGCAGCAGGTAGAGAAGAAGAGACGATGAAAGAAAATGGGTGGAAGAAAGAAAATAGGAAAGAAACATAATGGAAAAGGGAAATAATGAAAGAAGGAAAAGCAAATTGGTATTGAAAGAAAGAAAGAAAGAAAGAAAGAAAGAAAGAAAGAAAGAAAGAAAGAAAGAAAGAAAATCGAAACGTGAAATAACGAATGAAGAGAAATCAATGTCATGGTGAAAAAAGAAAGAAAGAAAGAAAGAAAGAAAGAAAGAAAGAAAGATAATCGAAACGTGAAATAACGAATAAAGAGAAATCAATGTCATGGTGAAAGAAAGAAAGAAAGAAAGAAAGAAAGAAAGAAAGAAAGATAATCGAAACGTGAAAAAACGAATGAAGAGAAATCAATGTCATGGTGAAGGCAGGAAAGAAGGAAAGAAAGAAAGAAAGAAGGAAGGAGATAAAGAAAGAAAGAAAGAAAGAAAGAAAGAAAGATAATAGAAACGTGAAATAACGAATGAAGAGAAATCAATTTCATGGTGAAAGAAAGAAAGAAAGAAAGAAAGAAAGAAAGAAAGAAAGAAGATAATCGACACGTGAAATAACGAATGAAGAGAAATCAATGTCATGGTGAAAGAAAGAAAGAAAGCAAGCAAGAAAAAAGAAAGAACTACATACAAATTTTGATGTATTATGGTGGCTCTAATAAGAATGGTAAGTAACAATGTGTTTTTTTTTTTTTAGTGGGTATGGAATACTGTCGTATGTTTGGGTCAGTAATTGTGGCCAGTGAAGTTTAATATAAAATAGACTGAAAACAAGCCTTTCTCCATATCGTCTCTTTTGACTTTGTGCAACATTTTTAATATTATTCAAAATAAATATTACTTTCCACTATGGTAACCTAGACTTTATGAATTTAAGCGCAGTACTGGATTGGCAGGTAGGTCTCATCGTTTAGCAAATGAAATGACTAAATGCAACCGTAAGTCCTATGCTAACAGTTTCTTCTATCACACTTCTTGCTTGTGGAACTCTCTTCCGGTTTCTTGTTTTCCAGTCAAGTTTGGTCTTCATAAATGTAAATGCAATGTCAATCGTTATCGTCTATCTTCTTAAATCTTTCTTTATTGTTCTCTCTTCTTAATTGTGTTGTTTTTTCTCATATTCTTTTACACTCATTAAAGTCCTTACATCTTAGAGGCTTTGTTGCCTTTCCTGGGGTGAAATAATTAAATGTAATTCTGGACAAATTCTTCTCAGCAGGGGGAGAGGCTTCAGGCTATAGAAATGTTCTACAGACATGCTAAGAACACCATGGACCGAAGCCGTACGAAACGAAAACGAAAAATAATAAGAAAATGACGCTTGTGTTTAGTATCAGAAAGAGACAGGTGAGATATAATGAGGAAAGAGGGCTTGGAGAATTTGAGACTCCCAGGATATATTAAAGATAAGAGAGGCAAAACGAAACAGAAATTAACCTATCTAGTTGCTTTGCGTAAATGGATGGCAGAAGAAGAATAGTAAAAGGGAAATACTGCTTAGAGTTAGATAGGATGTTGTGGAGAGTCATGAACCTGAAGCGTTTCATCACTTAAAAGAATAAATTCGATCATGGCCGTATTTAACCTTTAAGAGGCACCTTGGCTAATAGAATGTAGGGCTCCCTGCTGTGTATATGTTCATCCTAAAACCCCTAACCCACCTCGTGCCTATAAAAAAAAAGACATATTTGTAGATGATGCTTTTTTGGTGTAAAACATGAAATACTTCAACTGATATTTTTGAATGATTTTGTAAGTCATCCAGTTTCATCCTGGGTATGAAAATAAACTACATCCGCGTCCTGGGTAAGACGATAAACTACAACCAACGGCAAGGCCTCTGATCAGGAGGTTTTGAAGAGCGTGGAACCGCTTCTTCATTGATGGTGTTCCCAGGTCCACCCTGACCCGGGGTGGTAGCACCTGTTAGGGTCCCAGCTATGGGCAAATAGTTAACCCCTAAACTGGGGTAAAAACACTATGAAAGTGAAAAAATAGGTTTTAATACCAGAAATACTTTGTAAAAAATTACTATCAGCAAGAAATTTTTGAAAAAAAAATTACCAACAATACATTTTTGAAAAAAAAAAAAAAAAATTACCAGCAATATATTTTTGGAAAAAAAAACATTACCAGCTATACATTTTGTGGAAAAAAATATTACCAGCAATACTTTTTTTTAAAAAAAATTATTACCAGCCATACATTTTTGAAGGAAAAAATTATTACCAGAAATAGATTTTTGATAAAACAAAATATTACCAGCAATAAAAAAATTGTCGGCATTTAAATAACTCATTGAGGTTGATATGCCGTAAAACAAAACAAACCAAACCAAACCAAGTAATTAAAAAAAAATCCGAAAATAAAACCATCCAATATTGTAAAGTTGGATTGTACTCAAAAATATGAGTAATTGAAAATTGGTTCAAATATATATGTATACATACACTTTTTTTCTTTTCTTTTTTTTTTTTATTACCAAACTATTGCTGTGAATCTTTTGTTGGCATTAAATGGCACACTGAGGTTAATATGCTATAAAACAATGAACCCAACCAAATGATCCAGTTTATTTAATTTTCGACTTCATGAATTTTTCTTTGAACTTTCTCTCTTGCAGCCTGTTTTTCAATCTTCAAATATTCTAAATCATTTCAAATTATTTCAAAGGAACTCCATTAAATCTGATAATAAATATTCTTTCTGTTCTTATAGCTTTATTTTTTTTTATGAGGATCGCAAGCCGGTCCGTTCTATGTTCGAACAGCGCCACTGACTGTTGAATGGGTCACTTCGATGCAAGCCTTGCATTGTCCCACGTTGTGTTTGATTTAGACCATAAGGCTGGCGTGGATCAAATTGTCGACGTTGAATTGGTCTGTTCCGGACAGAGGGAATCCACGTATCATAGGGTAAATTGTAATAATAAAAATGTTTTATGTACCGTTTCTTGTCCAGAACTGGTGGTACAATATTGGTACTTCAGGCAGAAAATATATGTTCTTCATGCAGCAATATATTTGTCATGCAAAGTTATTCGACCATTTCCATCTTCAAATATTTCAGGTCACTGTGGCCGTCGTGACTAAGTCTAGACAAGGCTTCTGGAACACAACGCAAAGGCGGAGGTCTTTTTCAGCGACAGATGAAACGGTTGTCTCTCGCCTGGTGTTTGGCGCCCGCCTCTCTCTCACTTTCTCTCTCGTTTCGCTTCGATCTTTATATGGACCTTCGTTCAAAACTAGCATAGGGTTTGACGTGGTTTGGGATTTTGGTGATTCTCCTAATTTCCACACAGAATTCTTTGTTTGACTCTGGCAAATTAATCGCAAGCCCAATTTCGGAGAGGTCTCTCCTCCTCAGAGTAGTAGTAACAGAATATCGATCCGCCCTAAATCCTTCCTTCTCATATTGGTGCCTCATTCCAATACTGCCCAACGGGTGTAGGCAAATCCTCCGCCTCCCTTGGTGTTCTACCTATGCCTTTCACTTCGTTTGTCACTTCGATCAATCCGATTTCTAAACTACAAGGGCGAGCAGCGTGGCTTAGCACCAATCACTAATTTTAATTAACGTTAAAAATTTTCGTCAGTGTAGTTCCTCGACCCCTTCCGACTTCTCAATGGGACACTCACCAGCCACTCCCTTGACAGCCTTGTTACATTTCGGCTCTTCTCTTTAAAAAAATCATCTCTTCTGCGATTCACACCTTCCCTAACTTTTTTGACGAGTGATAAAAAACAAACAAACTCCAACGTTGTCTTTGTTTTCAGAAAACCATAAATTTTATCACCCGACCATTTTTTTACCGGGTTATGGCCAGCAGATAATTCCATAAACTGGATTTTAAAAGCAATAATGTCTCCATTTCGGCTTTTAGACGGCCTCACTCCATTTCCCATGGATTTAAATTACCTAGATGCTTTTTTTCCACTAGTGCCCCGAAAATATTAATAAATCCATTTTACTACCAGCCAGCCCCCACTCATCGGAGTCATCGGAGTTCCTCATATTTCTATTCGGTCGACGTGTTGACAACCCAGTATTTACCAGATCCATTTCATAGTCAGTTGTCAATATTATTTTTTGTAAAAAGATCAAATGTATCTGTCTTGCTTTTACCCAAAGAAGAAGAAATAAATAACCTCTGAATTTACTAAAATCTGGTCTCGACTCTTTGTATGTTTATCGATCTATCTTTCAACGCTTAAAGTGTCATATTTCTCTCGGTATAACCATCGAGCTATGCTTTCAACCCTTAAAGTGTCACAGCGAGACTTTGTGTTCTCCTCTAGTCTTAAGGATCCTCGGCTGCAGCTCATATTAGTTCATATGTAATTCATCCAACACAGATGGTGTCAGTATTTTCTTAGTAGTATGGGTTTGGCTTTTCTAAAATCAGAGTGGAAAGTTTATAGTTCAATCGAGGTTAAATCGTTTTACCATTTT